CGGGGGCCTCGGCGGGACCTGCTGCGCCGGGCCTGTGTGCCCGCGGGGACTGCCCACGGTGCGGGCTGAGAGGTGGCCGGGGGGAGGCGCGCTGTAAATGCCCCTGGGGCAGTGTTGGGACGGCTGCCCCCGCCCCCCCCCCGGGGAGAAATGCGGTAGAAGGGCCTATGGAATTGCACTGCCTGGGGCATAGACGGGGATGAGTGACCCCCCAGGACAGGGAAAGGGAGCGTGGACTCCGAAATGCCATCAGGGTAGCGGGACGGGTGGGCTCCATACCGCTCCACCCGCCGAGGAGGAGGCTGGGGCTCCCCCTGGAGCCGGGGGCAGGCGAAGGGGGCTCACAGGTAGGTCCAGCTGGGGACAGTCGCCCTCTCCCTTCCCCTGCTCTCAGCGTTCTGCCATCTCCCACCCCAGTCATGGCCAGACCACCCGCCCCGGGCTCGGTGATTGTCCCCGACTGGCACGAAAGCGCCGAGGGCAAGGAGTACCTGGCCTGCATCCTGCGCAAGAACCGCCGGCGGGTGTTTGGTGAGTACCCCGCCCCCCCTGCCCAAGCCTGTCACCTGCCAATGCTTAGCCAGAACAGTGTCACCTGTCACTCCCTGGGGGAGCAGAGAAGCAGGGCAGGGAGGGCCTGTGGCACTGCACTTCTCAGCCTTGGGACCCCCCTGTGTATCCTGGGGACCCCCACCCCAACATCTCCTTAGAGCTAATTCCATCATCAGAGCCAGGATCATGGAAACAGGCAAAGCCCTGCCAGGAACCACTGTCACCAGAGACGCTGTTGACTGAGCCGGTGCCCTGTGTACCATGCCGGGTGCCAGGCCCCCTGCTGGGTGCTTCTGCGCATCTTCCAGAGTCGGGAAGCCTAGTGAGGAGACACAGCCTCTTTCCTATCCAGCTGTCTCCGGGATAAGACACTCGAGCTCCGCAGGGTGAAGCAGCTCCCCCAGGCCGGGCAGGGCTGGGCTGACAGGCCAGCAGCAGGGCCTGGCCTCGGCTGTGAGCCCAGCTCTGCCCAGGAGAGGCAAAGCCCAGGAAGCTTAAAACCAGAGGACGAGAGGGCAGCCCACACCTTAGGACTTTGAGGTCCTGTGCCTACAGATGTATCATAATTTTAGACTTTTTTGTGCAAGTTTTAAATTAAAAACACTCATAGCCCTGGCCAGCGTGGCGCAGTTGGTTGGAGTGTTGTCCCGTACACCAAAAGGTGGTGGGTTCAATCCCCAATTAGGGCATGTATGGGAGGCAGCCGATCAATGTTCCTTTCTCACACTGAGTTTCTCTCTCTCTCCCCCTTTCCTCTCTCTAAAATTAAAAAATAAATTATAAAATCTTGGCATGTTAACTCTAAGGAGTTTATAGTAATTGAAAATACTTCTGCTGATATTTCTCTACGGAGGAAAGAATTATGAAACACCTTTCTTTTACATGTGAGAAATGTAGAACATGTCATAATATCAATAAAACCATCTCATGCATCAAACCTAAAAAAATAAGCTGGTGTTTCCCGGCCGGAGTGGCTCAGTGGTTGAGCATCGACGCATGAACCTGGAGGTCACAGTTCAATTTCATAAGGGCACGTGCCTCAGTTTCCGGCTCGATCCCCAGTAGGGAGCGTGCAGGAGGCAGCCAATCAGTGATCCTCTTTCATCATTAAGGTTTCTATCTCTCCCTTCCTCTCTGTCAGATCAATAAAAATAAAATAAATAAATAAAGTAAAAATTAAAAAATATTTCTTTTAAAAAAATTAAGTCGGTTTGGCCTTGGCCCAGCTCCCAGAGCACAGGGTTCTCAGCAGAGCCTCTCACCAGGGACGCTGCATGTGTCCCAGGCCTTGGTAATGAGTACAGAGAACCGCGGGCGGTTGACCCTGAAAAACCCCTTAAAGATGAGGTTGCCCCATCCAGGGTCTGGTGGGGCAAGACTCTCGACAACCTGACCCCACAGGGCTCCCTTCTTGCCCTAGGGCTGCTCGAGCGACCAGTGCTTCCCCCCGCTGTGGCCGTTGACACGGCCAGCTACAAGATCTTCGTGTCCGGGAAGAGTGGTGTGGGCAAGACGGCGCTGGTGGCCAAGCTCGCCGGCCTGGAGGTGCCCGTGGTGCACCACGAGACCACTGGTGAGCCCGTCCTTGGAGGCCTTCCTGGGGTGGAGGCTGTCCCCGGACCACACTGTCTGGGGTTTGAACCAGCTCCACGGTTTCCTCTGCAGCCTGGAAAGGCCACCTCACCTCTGAGCCCACACCGGCTCCTCCCCGAACAGGAAAAATAGTGTCAATCCCATGGGGTTGTGGGGAGGGTGGTACTAGAGAGAGTGGTGGTAACAGGCTCAGCACTGAGCTGGCAGAAGGTGGGTGCTCAGGAAACACCAACCTCCTTTCCTGTTCCCTTCCACTGGATGCTGATTGGCCATCATGTGGCAACATTCTCCAGTGTTGTCCTGGGACCTTTGGGTTCCTTGCACACATATGAGTGAAACGTCATTGTCACGGCTGGGGTTAGGGCTCCCTGGTAGACAAGGCTCCTTCGCCGGGTCGGTGTCCCTCATCAGACCGAGAATTCTCCCAGGCCGGGGGCTGTGCCTTCCCCATCAGGCTCACACCCCCGGGGACAGGGCCGCGCTCTCCGCCGCATTTTCCCTGGCCCCGCTCCGCCTCTGCCCCTCCCATGCTAAGTGGCCGCCCGCCTCCGCAGGCATTCAGACCACCGTGGTGTTCTGGCCGGCCAAGCTGCAGGTCAGCGGCCGCGTCGTCATGTTCCGCTTCGAGTTCTGGGACTGCGGGGAGTCTGCGCTCAGAAAGTTCGACCACATGCTGCCGGTGAGCAGGCGGAGGGGGGGCCTGGGTGGGTCCCAGGCTCTGGTGGTCTGAGGTAGGCCTCTGAGTCCAGGGGTCTGAGCCCAGCCTGCCTGGTTTGCAGGAGCCAGAACTGGGCTTGAATGGGCTGAGGGTGCTGCCCCGGCTGGGGGGGCTCTGAGCTGGCGTTGGGGACGGGATCCCAGCCTGAGCTCTGCCCTGGGCCCAGCCCCTCGCTGCTCTGGGCCTGTCTCCCAGTCTGTGAAAGGAGGGATTGTGCGGAGACTTCCCAGGGCCCTGCAGCCAACGGGAGGGCCCTGGTCCCGTGGTCCGGCCCCGAGTCCGCTCCTTCATCCCCAGGCCTGCGAGGAGAAGACAGACGCCTTCCTCTTTCTCTTCTCCTTCACCGACCGCGCCTCCTTCGAGGACCTCCCTGCCCAGCTGACCCGCATAGCAGGCCAGGCTCCCGGTGTCGTCAGGATGGTCATTGGCTCCAAATATCCTTTGGGTAGCCCCCAGGACTGACGTAGACCCTGCCTCTGCCCGGCCGTGGGGTCCAGCCCCGTGGGCTTTATCTTACAGGCCGCAGCGGGGCCTCCCCCGGACCCTGGGGTGGGGCTCCAGGGAGGAGGGAGAGGCTGGGTTTGGGGGGTACTTAGCAGAGGCGCCCAACTGGGCTCCTTAACCCTCCCCCAGGTTTGACCAGTACATGCACACGGACGTGCCTGAGCGTGACCTCACGGCCTTCCGGCAGGCCCATGAGCTACCCCTCCTGCGGGTAAAGAGTGTGCCCGGGCGGCGGCTGGCAGATGGGCGCACGCTGGATGGGCGGGCCGGGCTGGCCGACGTTGCCCACGTGCTCAATGGCCTGGCGGAGCAGCTGTGGCACCAGGACCAGGTGGCAGCAGGAGTGCTTCCCGACCCCACAGAGGACACCCCTGGCTGACATGAGTGGGCACCTATGGTCGTTACTCTTTACCCTCGGGTGACCCAGAGCAGGGGACAGTACCCAGGACCTAGGTCTGGGGCAGGAATGTTGACTTCATCCTGAGGACTGTCAGGGAGGAAGGTGGCCTGTGAAGACTCTTCCCCAGCAGCACTTCCCTGCAGAACTCATGGCATGAGGTGGGGGTCCAGGGCTTTGTGGGCAGTGGTTTGAGGGCCCTGGCCTTCTCCCTTGGTCCTGGGGGTCCAGGCTCTGGAAGCTGAAGAACTAGCATGGTCAGGGCCCCAAGACTCAAGCATCTCCCCAAACCTCCTGCTGTCCCTCCCCTTCTGAAGCATATAGGGAAGGCAACTGGGGAGTCAGGGGTCTCAGCTGGGCCCTGGACTCCAAGTGACTTCAATCAAGGGCCCGTATGACAGGGTGGGGCAAAAGTAGGTTTACAGTTGTTCCTATGGAAAATAAGGCAATAATTAATAAATAGTAGTACAAGAATAAACTGTGTTTCGAATACTCTTGCCCCACCCTGTCGTTGAGGAAATACCATCTGCTGCACCAGAAAACCCTGACAGCTCAGTGGCTTAACTCTGTACAAGGTTTTTTCTTGTTTATGTCTCACCTCGGGTGGAGGCGAAGGTGGCTGAGGGGTCTCGGCTCCATGCAGTCATCCAGAGACCCAGGCTCTGAGACCTTCAACACCGGGCTTCCCAGTTTGCCCTGGGGCATCACCATCCAGTGGGCAGACCAATGAGCGCAAGCCAGAGGTCATCCGGAGGTTTCTGTGGACCTGGCCACCTTCCTTTGACCAATCCTTAGTCATGTGATCAACATGGAGCTGCAGGGGAGGCTGGGAAATGTAGTCCACCTGTGTGTCCAGGAGGCGAGACCCTGGCTCTGCAGTGGTGGTGGTGAAGCTGCCAGGCCAGCCTGCGGGAGTCAGCATCCCAGGGAGTGAGTTGCCTGTTGGCAGCTCTGCCCTGTGGGAAGCCAGCAAGGACAGGAGCAGGAAGGTGAGTGAACTTGCCCCCACCAGCCAGAGACACTGGTGAATACAGGCTGGGGG